CAAAAAGACAGATGAGTTTTACCTGCTAAGTCTTGTTTGGAGAAAAGTACAAAATTCTGGAGGAAGTAAGACTTCATTATTTTTTCCCTTTCTGTAAATGTATATCTTATTTGCTGATAATTTCCCTAGGCATATGTTCAAACACTTAATGCAGCACATTGCTTTTTAAGATTCAGAATTTTTAATAGGAATTTCCAGTATCCTGTGATAACCCCATGAATTTTCAAAGGCTGTTTATAATTTAAGGAAGAGTTTCAGGTTCAATCTTGTCTGGTTAAGTATGTAATAAGAACAGGCTTTCCCCTGATTATCTATGTTGTTTGGTAAACTTGCTTCCTTTTTTCATCACTTAGGGACATAAAAATCCTTATGAATGTGCTAGATAGCTGTCTAAATGGAGCTTATATAAGAAAAAGTATTATGCAGAAAATGTCATATGATTGCCTCAGCTGTTTTTTGCATATAGCAGGAATAATAAAGAGATTTTAATGGGTTTCTGTTGTGTAACACGGTAGGAGTCCCACCAGAAAGAGTACTCCTAATGTGTAAATAGATAGGTAAAACATGGTTTAGCACAATAGCCTTATCCTCTGCATCTAGCAAATCAAGTTACTGCAAGCTAATGACATCAAAGAGTGGCTAGATAACTGTGTCTCTCCCACTGTAGAGCCTCATCTGTTGGTGCTACTTGTATTATAACATTTTTCAAGTCGGGATCTACCAAAAGGTTAATTGCTGCTAATACAGGATACGCTTTAAACTCTTGAATAGAACTATTGCCACTCTAGAAATATTGCTGAAGTATGAGTTGAAGTATGCTCTTCATGTTAGCCAAACCAAAATATGAAAAAAATACTAATAGATTCTAACAGTATGGGGATAAAAGAAATTATATTATGCCTATATAATGACCACGTCCAGATAACAGACAATGTTGACATGTGATAATAAATGTATTACATCATACATCAGAATATTTGGTCTTACCGTTCTATGAAGCAGGCATGGTGTGCAGATTCTGTCATATTTCACCAAATGAATATGCTTGCTCAAATAATTTTCACCTTCTTATGGCTATTCCTTTGTTGTAAAAACTGACGTATATTCATTAGTTTACTTTTTGTTTTTAATTAAAATGAATTGTTTCTATTAGCCACCTCCATGTAGAAAAGCTTCACTACTTGTTTGGTTGCATTGCCATAAAATGAGAAAAAAAAATTGTGTTTTCTTGCTGTTTTTATTAAAACTACTTATACTATATACGATGCTTGCAAGAAGACTTGACTTCTTGTAGATATGGAACATGCTTCCATATAAATTTCTTGTGTCTTTATCTGTATTGGATGATATGGAAAAGATATTTTAAGGGAGAGGAAAGGGAGGAGGAAAAGGGAAAGTATCATGGAGAAAATGATACCATTGAAGAAAATGCAGTCTTTTAGGATCAACTCTTTATCTAATTCAATCAACGCTGACTGAAAAAGTGCCCACCATGACAGCAAGGCCACAACTTTTCTTATCCCTATAGCAACTCACAAGCAAAGACCACTGTGTTTTATGATCCATTCTGCTGAGCTTTCTGCCATGACATGAAGAGTCTTGTTTTGTTTTACAAAGGAGTGATAGGAAAGACTGCAGGAGGTATCCCTCATTTAGTTTAATTCATGCTACCTGGGAACCCTCCCTACCAATTCCATTTAGATTGAACAGTGCAAGTCCTGCATGAGTGCAGATTACATATGTTCTGTCTGATGCAGTTGTTTAAAATTTTATACCCTGATATAGAAATAGCTGCCAATAAGCTGTGAAAAACATATGGGAAAGTTTTACCTTTCCCAGAGATAAGACAGTACCTTGGGGGAAGAAATATATTTTCACAGAACTATTCTTGGGTATCAGAGAGAAAAAAAGAAACAAAAAATGTTTCACTGAAGGGTTTTTCTGACTATGGTTTTACTATTATTCTAATGCAATATGACTAATTTTTTGAAATCTTTGGTACTGTAAGGTATTTTCTGAAATGCTTGCATACATTGCATTGCATGTGATCAAAATTAAAACCATTTTTTGTTTACTGTGTGTTTCACTTATGAAAGTTAGTCAATATTCTGAAAAACTATCTTTGTATCTTTAGAAAAAAACTTTAACTTGCATCCTCAAGGTGGAAGTTACTAAACTGAACTTTTCTTAGAAAATTGCACGTAACAAAATTGCCTGGGTTTTTTTACATATTCTTCTGCTTAAATGATTGAAACTGTTATAACAATAGTGTGATAAACAAGATATATATGCAAGGTGTTTCTTTGTATAAAGAGGATAAATCCTCCTTGACAATACATTTTTAAACTTGTGTTATTAATCCATTCTGAGCTGAAATACTAAAAAATTACTTCCTTGTGATGGTATGTTATTTTTGTTCTTTTTCATGTTTGCTTGTATATAAAGAAAGTGGCATACTTCTTTCAAATGTATCTAATGGATACAAGTATGTTCATCACTATTGTTATGGTTACACTACATTATTTTCTAAGCTACTGGGAAAGTCTCCCTGATTTTTTTGTTTGTTTGTTTTATTTTAAAAATTTAACTGGATTATTAAAATTACTTAGTACATGTTAATATTCTCAGACATCAAATTAGGAAGTCCTATTGTGATGTGAAAGGCTGTGATAATACAAGTTGCTGTCTTACATAAATAAATAAATGGCCAATATTACTGGAGGCTTTAAGCTTCAAGAAAAAAATGGAAGAAGTCTTTTATCCTGGTTTTTAGAGGGCATCAGCAGCTTGCTTTTATGAAAAAGTAACAGCTAAATGCACTGCAAATAATTTGCAGTAATCCAGTTCAGTGATTCATGTGTCTGCTTTAATGGGTCATAATTCAGGATAAAGTAACTGAGTGCAGTCAGAGTGCAGACACTGCTTATGCCAGGGACAGTATCTCTTCATAAAACACACCTCAGCAGAAGCAGTTTGCCAGCCCCCTAATACCCTCTGATGTTTTGATGTCCTGCATATTTTTCCGATTAAGTTTTGAGTGCCATGTTTTTAGTTGTATTTCCACATTCATTATCCTCACGTAGACCCTTCAGCAGGTTTGCCATATATGATTATTTTTTTAATGATGCCTTTCTTTCCACTTCAGCAGTTTAATAATCTAGCACATGGCTGCTTCTCAGTACTCAGCATTCACCTCCCCAGTACAGAAGAGGACATGTGCTTTGGCTTCAGAATTCCATTTGCAGCTTTAGAAATGCATATTCCCTGTGGAAAACATTTGTTTGACATAACCATTCATTTTTATTACCTCTTTAAATATGTTTATCCAGAGTTATCAATAATCATAAATAACTTGTATTCTGTTCTTGTCCTGTTTTTTTGCACAGACAAAATTGCTTACCCAGTACGTATTAAATCTCGGCAAGTATGATCAAAGCTACGACATCAGAGACCGTACAAGATTTATTAGGCAGCTTATTGTTCCGAATGAGAAGAGTGGAGCTTTAAGCAAATATGCCAAAAAAATATTTCTGGCACAGAAACCTGCCCCATTGCTTGAGTCTCCCTTTAAAGGTATAAGTGCCAAAATCATTTGGTAAATGTTCATTGTGTAAAGGAATGTGGCAGCCTATTCTATTTTAAATATGCTCACAAATTGTGTCACTTTAGCAAACACAAATGATTAATATGCAAGGGTATTCACTCTGCTTACGTGCTTTTCAGCAATCAAGGGTTGCATGGTGCAAACACAGTGCATTTCTCTGATGATAAACCCTGACAAACTGATCCATTTCTATTAATGTGGATTTTAAATTTGATTTAAATAACAGAAGGTGTGTCTTTTGAGGAAAACTATTCTTCAATTTAGGAAAATAGCTCTAGGCTTTTTTCTAGACTTTAATAGAAGATTGTTAATGTGAGTATTGCAAATGTTTTATGAATCTGAAAGGAAATTAATCTCAGTAGATTAGGCTTTTACTATTTTTCTCCAAAGTCATAATTTTCCCGGTGCACTTTCCCTGTCTTTTTACAAGGAAGTACCGTTATCTGTCTTCTCAAATTAAAGGGTTATCAGGTTATCTTAATTAAAAATGCTCTGTTATTATGACAATTTGCAATTTTAATTTTCATACTTACTTAGTCCCAGTTTTGAAGCTCTAAAAGGAGCTCCATTTTGAAGAAGAACTATTAAAATTCTGGATGTGTTTGTGCCAAGACATGTATATGGATTGTTTAACTGTGCTGTCATTCTTAATATTCACAGTAAAGTAATTTTTAGAGAAGCTACATTTCAGAGCAACACCTCTAAACACACTGACTGATTAGCTTTTTTATTGACCATTATGGGGGAGATTATTGTAATCTATGGACTGAAATCAGTTTTTTGACCTATGAAGAGCTTCCTAGTTTATATTTATTCCATGACATTTGAGGTAATACAATGGCAATTACCTTTAGCCCTGATTAAGATTGCTCTTTGTGGTAGAGCTCATGATGTTTGTGTATTTGTTCCCCTCCCCCCTTTTGTTTAATAGATCGGGACCATTTCCAGCTTGGCACCTTGTCTCACACGCTGAACAGCCGAGCCACCGGCTACCTGGAGCTGTCTGACTGGCCAGAGGTGGCGCCTGACCCCTCTGTCCGAAACGTCGACGTAGCTGAGTCGGTACGTCAGCATCATTAAAAGTAATTTTGCTGAAGCACTTATCAATATAGAATGTTAGCCTAAAATACAAATTTTTAAATACTATCCATATGCTGTACTGAAAATTGTTGATGGATGTGAACATCCGTGTTGCTTGTTTTAGCTGGAAACAGAAACCTGCACACGATGCTTGCTCTTTCCGTCTCAGTGAGAGAAAGGATCAACTGTTGGCCACTTCTATTTTGCTCTTGGATTAAATGGGCTTTTTCCACTTCCATCTCACTTTTGATTTCATACCTCCTGTATTAGCTGTGCTGTAGTATGTTAATTGCTGTTAATGATGAGTGTAGCTGGACTACCAAAGTAAGAGGTGAGCAGAGGTTTGTTCATGTACAAATCCAAGTCTACAGAGGAAAAAAAATAGGTAATATAAACAAAAGGCAGCAGCAGGGGAGGAAATTACATACGTTTCAAAGTGCAAAGTTTGGAAGAGACCAGGGTTTACATTTCAGATCATCTGAGAGAATTAGGAAAGTTTATAATAGGAAAATGTCATCTATTGGTACACTAGTCAGTTGTTGACATCACAGGCCTGATCTACTACTACCAATGGCTTTTTCTTACTGGATTGTAAACTTTGAGGCAAAGTTATGTTCTGGTACCAGCATTGTGATTTATGCATCAGATAACAAAGTCCCAGTAAAAGTCAGTGAAAGCTATTGAACAGTAACAGAAATGTAAATGTATTGGGATATAGTGCTGATGGTACTCCCAAGGTATGTCATTGTAACATGTATACCCAGAAAAGCACATGGTCCTTGTCATGTCAAACTTCTACAGTAAATTACACATGAATTAATTTGCAGATAAGATGTTAGGCGTAGAGTGGATAGAGACAGTTCTAAAAAATAGGTATGACTTGCAGAAGCCAGTGAACAACGTTGTGGTAGAACAAGCTTTTCTCCTTAGTACTTCAATATTAGTTGTCTACCTTCTTATATACATTTCAGGAAAAGAGGTATTTGTGTACAAACTTCTGAAAGCTTTTATGAGGAGAATCTGAAGGCAATCAGCTCAAGTGGGGGATTATAAATGATAGGGTTGGCATGAAAGAATGTGTGCAGGTGCCTTTGTCCATAAAACCAAAAAGTATTGCAGGAAATTGATCAAATGGAGTAACATTCACCTATAACATGATAGAAAACATCTCCCTCCAACCATTTAATTCTCAAAACAAACATGAAAACCCTTTCCCCATATTTTTTGCAAGTATTTTTTTGGAGAGTGTCTCATTGTCATTAATTTTATGGTTCCTCTCATACTGCATGTGTCTACACAACGTGTGTGAGTGAAGCTGAGTTGTTAAGCTGCAATCCATAGTGAAATTGTGATTTATATCCAAAAGAATATTGGCTTTTTAAAATACCAGTTACTGGGCAGAGCATTACAAAGCTTTAGCAACTTTTGGTGTTTAAGAGGAAGCCAGTGTGTCTCTAGAGCCACACACCATCGCAGGTCACCCTTGGAGCTATTTAAAAAGTTAGTCTTACTCCAGATCAGAGTGGTCACTGGGGCAGACCTGTATCACTCTATTAATATAGTTGTCTGCCTGGTTTTTTTTTCCTGGCCTGAGTTTTTCTTCTGTTTCTGTAGTAGTATAGGGGGAAAAAAAGTCTGGCTAAAGTACTGACACATTCTGGTGTTCTCTTGGTGATAAGAATTGATTTTATTTGGAGAATTGCAAAGGAAATGAAATATAATTTCCCTGTGGTTGCTGGAACTTCTGCTGCTTACTGGTTCCACATCTGTTTTCCCCTTAAAACCCGGGATGATAAAGGTGGTGGCTAGCCATATTTACCCTTCATTCTAGTCATAGGCTAAACTCGGCTGGATCTAGAGATAAAACTCTCAGACTTCAGGTTCTTTTGGCATAGAAGTTTATTTATGGTTACTGATGCTTTTAATCTGCCTTAGTAAATCTTTTTCTAGACTCTCTAACAGACATATCTCACCCTTTATAGGTATGTACCAAACTTTTAGTTCTCCTAATTGTGTAAAATAAAAGAAGTTTAATAGTTTCTCGTGACTTGCTTACAGGATTTATTTAGAAACTTCTTAATACTACTACTGCGAGTGTTTTTTCTTTGCCGTGTTGTGCATCTATTTTTGTATTGCAGGTTGTAAAAGTAAACTTAAGTTGAAATTTATTTACAGGCAAAGGAATGGACTGGAATTCTAGGTAAGACAAAGAAAGAGAAACCTACTGAAAAGTTCTACTCTGAATCAGAAGAGGAGGAAGATGAATCTGCCAGTACCAGTGCATCAGGTAGGTGTTTGGAAAGCAACGTGCGTCTCAGCTGCCTGGAGAACTCTGTCTTCAGAACTGGCCACTACTTAAAAAGTGTTAATTTTTAAAAAGCCAGAGCTAAGTATAAAATCAGGAAATCAAGGGAAAAATTTTATATTTACTGTAGCTGCGCAATACTTGCTAATTCCACAGATATGGCTTGTGTGTTTATTAAGTGAGTTAAACTTTGCTTTGTTTCCCAGTTAAAAAAGCTGGCATGCTGTTTCAATCCTGCTTTGAGTCTAGTAAGGCTAGTGAGAGTTTGAAACTCCAATTAAAACTAAAGGCACTTAACTTTGCAGGAGAAGTGAACATATGCTTCATTGCTGAACATTCATTCAGTCCTGAATGTTTTTTGGAATTCATTGTTGATGAAGTACTATTTTGATAGCATGTGGTGCTGTGTTGATAAATGGCCAATCTTATTTAACTCTGTAGTCTTTCATGGGGTTTATTCAGTAAATTGTGTTATAGTATTGCTCTCAAGTTCTACACGACATAATGGGGGTGATGGTGGAGAAGATAACTGACAGCCGCCTATCAAGTTCAATGAGCAAAGGTTCTTTTGACCAGTCTCCCACTTAATGCCAGATAGGCAGTTCCCGAAGTCAGCCGTTTCAGTAGATGTTAATACAGTTCTGATGCAGCGAACATCATTCTCCGAGGTCCAGACTTTAGACACAGAAAATGTTTAGCTTTAGAGACTTAAAAGAATTATCATCATGTAGGTGAATGAAAGAGGGGCACCTTATAATCTGAATGTGGAGCTTCTTCCCTCATTCCTAAACTAGGAAATATGCAGAAGTGCTTAAGTATTGTATCACTCAAATTAATGATCTTTGAAGCAAGAAAAGAATATATTCACTTCAGACATTTGAATATTTGGCAACTATGTGATTAATTAGAGGATGAATAATTTGTTTAAATCAGTGATCTGATCATCATCACTATCAGTATTCAAGAAAAGATTACCTAATTAAGCAATTGGTTGAAAAGATAATCTTGTAGTTAAGTGAATGTATAGATTAGAGGACTTGAGGTCATCTCCAGCTCCTGATAAGGGTGTGTAATTTTGAAGAATCCTCATGCAACTAATCTATTATTGAGCCTTCTCATTTGCTAAGGTATAATACTGTTGGCTGAAGAGGACAGGTCTTCAACCAACAAAATTTTGTAAATATTAGGAGAAAATTATTTTCTTGCCTGCTTTTGACACAGGGTAAATAATGCTAAAGCTTGCAGTTGGATCTTAAAATACTAAAGCATTGTTTTATTTAAAACAAACTTGGATTCCTAAAATACTAATTATGTAAGATATTTAGAAAAAAAATTGAAGAGGGTTTTTTTTATTTCAGAGAGCAAGTCTGGCAGTGAAAGTGAGAAGGAAGTTAAGGAGGAAGACAGCAGTGATGAGAGTAGTGGGAGTTCCTCTTCCAATGAAGAAACAAGTGACAGTGAGTCAGACAACAAAGAAAGTAGTGCAAAGAAAACATCTAGAGCTGCTGATGAGAGGTAGGTATACATTTGTATGATTTTAATTTTTTGTGATACTAGCTTTTAAAGCACTTTTCCTGTAAACAGTCTGCTAAGCCTTTAAGTAGGCTTTTTTTGTGGTGTATTTGCCAAGGAGACATGTCTCTTGTGCAAGTGTATGCCACTAATATTCAGTGTGTGAACTTGTTTCATATTTTCATTAATCAGACTACTGTTATGTTTGGAATTAGTTTCTGACTTCAGTAAAATCTTGGGTGGCTTTTTGAAAATTGATGTAACCTTGGGAGGCTGAATAAGTGATCAAACAGTTGTATGAAACACTTAATTACCTTTTGCAGCAATTTTGCTGAGAGCTAAAATTAAGTCCTTCAACATTTTGCCATTATGTAACTAAGACAATTGATTTTTCTAAATAATGTTATATTAAAAAGATTATGATCCAAATATTAGAGGCAAGGGCTGTGAAGGGAAACGGTCATAAGATATTTAAGTGTTAGCGCTTTTTAAGATTGCCCATTATCAACAGCATTATCATGTATTAAAGTATCATTAAAATTTTGAGTAATTGGGGCTAATACCTTGGATTGTATGAATCTGTTTCTTCCACTGCTGTCAGTGAGTGGCCTCTGCAGACATGATCGCCCTTTACTCTGTAGTCTGCTGCCAGCTCACTTGATGAGTTTGCAGCTCAGCTCAGTCGTGGCTGACAGCGCTGATTGGGGCGCAGTACGCACTCTGCTCCTTTTATTACAGACAGTAATTAAAGCAGCTCGCCTTGCCACTTCCATAACAAACACAGCATAATGCCCTAATTATGACTTTATTAATTTAAGTCAGGATTTAATGATTTTAAAAGTGATTTATATTGTTTTTCCTGTTCAGAACAAATGAAATCTGTAGGTTAAATTAATACAGGCTTTTCATCATCACAAAGTTAAAAAGCTAGTTACCAGTAAATTCTTTTCATTAGAATAACATCTGAAATTTTAAGCAGTAAGGTAAACAATGATTACCCATCAAAACTGGCTGATGTATGATGAAGTAACATTTTTAATCTGCAAATCTAGTTTTAAAGATAAGCTAAAGATAGATTGTTGAAAAACAACTTCATTTATATAATGGGTTCACAATAACTTATTTGTTGATGCAACTACAGCTTCTGTTCAATGGCAATGAAGGAAATGTAGATAATTTTGTCAGTACCTGTGTTACACATCGTGAAAGAGAAATTTTCAACAGTATATGCTATTGAATTTGTAAGTTTAGCTCATTGACCTCACACGGGTTTTTACATGTTGTCATATTGAAATTTATTTTGATAGTACCTATATTTTCACCATGATTTTAACAATCAGATATGCTACCCTGGACTATTTTTGTGATGTGTACTCGTGTTTCATTTTTAGCTTTGCAAGCTTCAGGTTTGCTGCTTTCCAAAAAACATGCTTTTGGCTAAAATTTGGGGGGTTGATTTCAACTTCAGCTACATGGTTAGGCATTATCGGCATGGCTTAAATGTTAATATTAATTTTTAATAATTTTTATTAAATTTTATTTAAGCAACTCAGTCCTGGGAATTTTTTGGGAGGAGGAAGGCATTGCCCTAACTATTTTCTTTTCGGTCCTTGTATATTTTTCAATTCCCCTTCTCTGTATTTTTCCCCTATAAAAACATTGCTATCTCAAACAGTAATGCAGCATAGTACATTCTTTTGTACTGCTCCTAAAGCTAAGCAAAAATGTATAGCAACTTAATTTGAGTCCAGAGGGATTCTTAATAGTTGAGTGGTCTGCATTTGTTCAATTCTTGTTGACCTTGTTGTCCTTCAAGCACTTTAGTAACCAATTTATTGTCTTAGGAAGGAAGCTGAATTAGGTGGTGTATGAAACACCTGATTTGGAAGTATAAAATGGTTACCTGCAGATCCAAGAACAGAAGGTTTTCTTCTATATGCAGTATTAATTTATGTGCTCCATGATAGATATTAGAAAACAATTTTCATTTCCCGTGATATTTCTAGTTAGTAACTCCCCCTGAGACAAAAGGGTAGTCTACTGATTGGTAGTTATAGTATTATTAGAAGTAAACTAGGCCAATTTTAATAATACTCAGTAGCTGTTAGCACAGAACAACATAATCCAACATTGCCAGGGTGAACAGAACTTTACTGTGTGAAGAATAGTGTCTCTGAAGTTTATTAGCTGTAAGGTACTCGATATGATCAAAGGTGTCAGAATGTAATAGCTCTTCTGTATAGACTCTTTAATGGGTTGAAATATTTCTAGATATTATAGGTCTTATTCCTAGGTGGTTTGATTTAAAAGAGAATTAACAAAGGAATAAATTCAATGCATTGATTTATTTTTTTAAAGCGATTTTACTTTGCAAAAACATCTTATAACCCATCAAGATTCTGTTAATCATAGGTGGAATAGTCTGCAAGTTTCTTTGTATAAAAGGGTGTCTGCACTTCCTTCTGAAATGTCACAAGCCTGATGCATGCACATAATACTTTTAATATTTAGTACGTTCACATTTTTGTTTGGCTGCTTTGCTGGTTTAGATTATTTATTGTGTAATGTGATAGAACAATTTTGTATACCCTTAAATAAGCTACTACTTCTGCCATCTTAGCCAAGTTTTTTATCATGAAGAAATACGGACCTAAAACTCATGTAATAAAACTTAGAAATGTTAACATAGGATACTGCCTAAGCAAACTCCTTTGGTGGTTTTACATGTCTTTCAATTTTTTTTTCAATATGTAGTGATTTGGAGCACCTTAAAAAGAAAGCAAAGGGGACCTCCAAAAAAAGAAGCACATCCAGTTCCTCTGATACAGAGTCTGCTTCATCAGAAGAAAGTTCTTCAGACTCCAAGTCAGAATCAGACTCTAAAAGTGACTCTGACTATGGAGAATCTAGAAGTGCTACCTCTAGTAAGGTAAAATACTTTTTTTAAAAAAACCCTATAAAATATGAAAAGATGCATATAACCATCTACATGTGTTTCTTTATGTGAGAATGGAGATGGGTAGTGGTTTTATCGATATCTAAAAAATGAGAATTTCTGAAAAAAAAAAGTTTGTGACCTCTTATAAAAAGACCAATCCCAAACTTGAAAGTTTAAAGCAAGTAAGAATCTTCTATAATGAAAAACATATTTTGGTTTTAATTGTTATATTTTTACTCCAGATAGATGAAGAATTACAGAACCTGATATTTTTTTAGATTACTGTTGAACTGGTGAAAGCATGGTACATGAGTAGTTCGCAAAAATATCCTGATTTGGGATGGTTATTATATGATTATATTAAATGGGATGTATCTGCTACAGGTCTTGGGTCTGACAGGAAGCAATGTCAAGAAACAAATGTTAGTACATTTTTTTCTTAAGAGTTTGAAGACATTTTAGTAGAACCCCTAACTTCGTTTTAAAATTTCCTGTTAAAATTGACAATGATGCAGTTAATGCATCTATATTTGAGGTGTATACATAGATTAGTAGAACTAATATTCTTAATGGGTAATCAACTTTTTATTGCTCTCTGTGTTTGATAGGATTAAAGCTTATAAAGGGTTGCATTACCTCAAATTGTATTGGCTTTCTTACAACATTTATGAAGAAGCAAACTTTCAAATATGTCTTTTTTTAAATGGGATTTGGAAATGTGTGAAGATGCAAAAGTGTTCAACAGAGCCATTTGTGTGTCTGTTAAGTTTTAATTGCTTAACCTAGTGAAGAAAAAGAGGTTAAAAGTTCATTAGAATCAGGCTAGCGTTAGAGAGCTAAAGCTAAACAGCATGAATTGGTTTCTGTTTCTCTACTTTCATTTAGAAAAATAAATAAATGAGGAAATTTATGCTAAATTTGTTAAGATAGAAAAGTAAAGGAATTTCTGAAACTTATTTTTCTGTTATCAAGTATTTCCTGTGCATTTCTTTCTGTATGTTTTATAAAAAATTGAAGGGTATAATTGTAGCTCAGAAGTTTCCATTTCAATACTGATAGGTGGTTTTGAAAATTAACTGATACTCTGATGCATTTTAAATTAAGACAAGACATTTCGGTCAGGACTCCTGTATAGATTTCTCAATAGTCAGAAGAGATATCATTTGTTGTATTTGATGCAATTGTAGAATCTGGTGGAAAGGTGTGTTTTGAACAGTTAAGAGGGAAGGCTGTAACTTTATTCAGCTGTTTCAGTGTGTATTTCCTTTAATTGAGGAGGCAGGGCTCTCTGTTTCTCCAAAACTTGAATTTATGTATGGTCTTTGTTTTGTAACTTTATAGGTCCGCCTAGGAACTCTGAGTTGTAACCTTAACTTTTAATCTATTCCCTTCTACCAAGCAGAACAAAAGATAAGTGAGACTGTAGCATTTGAGAAATGGAGGTGTGTTTCCATGGTTTGATCATTGTTTCCTGCCCAAATACCGCACTGGGTAACACAGCTATGTCCAGGTTTTTTCTAGTAGAGGAGCTAAAATGGATCTTGCCAATGGTAGCACAACAAATGTAACCTAAATTGTCTCAGAATAAATGGGACGTGAATTAATTCTAACAGTTTGCAGCTTTTCATATTAGCACAGTATTTTTTGATCAGAAAGTAATAGCTACTGTGACCTGCTTAGTTATGAGCAGCCACAGCAAAACCATATTCAAACAGTAGCGTCTTTTCTCTGCTGCATTTATGCATTTTTCTCAGGGTATCAGCACCATTGTACGTGATTTCTTTTACTACAGTTACTTAAACTGTTCTGGTTCTTTCACAGGATATATGAGGGCTATTAGCATAAAGAAGATTTTTGTATTTTAAAACAGCAGTTGAGAATGTGTGAAGTCAAATATACTGAATGAGAACCAGAATGTCCAAGAAGCTTGGCATTGTTTTGTTAAAGTCAATGGAAAGTTGTCAAGCCCTTGGATTTTAAGAGAAAAGAAAGAACATTGCAGTAGTCCTGAAGTCTTACTTCACAGTCAAAGGGTAGAACTGAAAAATTGCAGAGCTTTTGAACATTACAAAAAACGTTAAAACAAATAGCAGTGGGTTTATATGCATGGCAGCAAGAAAAGAAGCAAGGAGATTATTGAAAAGAAAAGATAACATAGAGCTCACTATGAATAAGCTAAATGTCTATGTTCCTTAACTCCTTTTCACTAAGAAATTAGTACAATTAATGTAAGGGCAACAAGCTATGGCTGATGGACTGTGAGCAGCAATGGTCATATATGAAGGGGGCAGGGGAAAATTTAATTTAACGCTCTTGAATGTAGAGAACTGTTTCAGTGTACTATGTTAATCTCTAGGACCATGAAGTTAGTTTAGTTTCCATGTAAGCCATGTTGGATGCCTGCATTTATACGTGAGGTGTTTCTGATACTTACTTATACTTAGAACCATAATTGGATGCGGGTGTGGTGGAATCACAGGTATTTTGTGTCAAAGGTATGCTTCATGATTGGTTTTTTTTTTTTTGGAGAGAGACCTTTTTGAGCTCTGTCATGATAGGTGGAGCTAACTGGTGATAAGCTCTTCCAAGCTGGAAAGAGAATCAATTGTTAACAAACTTCAAAGAACATTATAGAGAAAGTCTTGTATAGAGCCCTTGTGTGGGGGTACATTTTATAAGAACCACCCATGTTTATTTTATTTCTAGGAAAATCTTTGAATTTTTCTGCCTTATACCTGACTTCTTTTCAGGCCACCCAGGAAGGAGACTGTTTCAGCCAGGCGCTCAGAAATGCATGTTTATTCTGACAGATTTTTATTGGGAAAGCCGTTGCTTATATTATTCTGCTACAGGGTGCTCTTAATTTGGTCAGTGTATATGGGGAGATGATTCATTAGGATTTCCTTTCCTTTTAAATAAAACTGGAAGGATTTTCTGAAATACATATTAGAGGAGTAGTTAATAGGCTGTATTTTTATAGTTGCTTGGTTTGCCACACATTATAAACTGTGTTACATAGCTGATGTTTTGAGTGTTGTTTACCATTGTATATGTTTTCTTGGTAGCATTGCCATGTTCAGCAGACTTCTTATGAAAACGTTTGATTACACTCAACATGGAAGTTTAATTTGTGCATACATCCATGCATTTACTAGCATTAAAACTTCAGATTATTTTTTCTGAATATGGTATTAAATGCTTTCATATTTTTTTCTGTTGAAGAATCATTTTGAAAAAGCTGTTGTGTTCACCGTAATTGAGCTGCAGTGAATAGAAAAGTCACTCTTGTACTGCATTTATGTAATTTTGAAATATGGATAGTTTGAGTGTTCAGAAACATATTATATTGTAAGCATAAATACTGTAGAACTAAAATGCAGATTTGAGGATGATGCATGTATAAGTAGGTGTCTCACAGTGGGATTTTAAAATGGGCTACTGTTGACCTCCTTATACAAGTATAATACAGTCACTCAGCTGTTAAAAACCTGATCCACTATTTAAAAAATATACAAAAACAAATTGTCTATCTTTCTGCCTGATCTCTTTTCAAGTGCTAACACAATGGAAACAGTGGGTGATCTGTCAATGCATTTGGATTGTCAATGATGGTTTTGTATAAATATTGGGAGGATAAGAAATAAAATTCGCACAGCAAAATATGATTTCATCTGCCTTTTCTCTGCAGCTCCATGGCTCATGCTGCGGTGTGAAATTCTCATTTTACACACTTTGCAGGCGGAGCACATGAATTATGCATTGGGCAAGAGAAATCTCCTGCTTCAAGTCCTATATGCATTTACCAGGTTCTATCTCTATTACCAAGATGAATTGCAAATGGAAAAAATGTTTGATGGAATATAGCTTAACTTCTTTGTTTAGTATTCTGCTTTTCCCATAGTGGTTTGTGTTGGCAGGAAACCGTTTGGGTTATACCATAGACTTAGTTTTAAGAAAAAAGATGAAAAATTATGTTACAGAGAGATGCCAGACACGTCAGAGCCTTTTTATTGTCTTGATTTGGAATGCAAAGCTTTTTTCATTCAATAGAAATATCTGTTGGTAGTGTTTGTTGCAGTCATTGGCTATTTATTATTCCTAGAAAGCCAATCAATTTTTGTTTCTTGGAAAAACCAAATTAATGTTTGTAGTAGGCAAGACCCATGTAAATAGGTTTCCTCAGTGTTTTGTACAGAATTGCACACAATTAATATATACCCATATATATAAATATAGATACAAAAATATTTGTTTTTACACACACACACACAAGTAACTGAGTGTTTACTTAAGCTTGACACACTTGACTGAAGTAGAAAATAAGATGTGATCACATTTTAACAATAGCTTTATCTTGATATAGCTAGCTTCTGATTTTACGTTTCCCAGATGGTAGGGTTTTTTGGGGGGTGGAGGGTTGGTGGGTTTTTTTGCAGTAAACTGATGTACTTAGATATAGTATTCTGATAAAATATGCAATGGAAGTTTTTCTTACCATGCGTTAGCTTGATATAATGATTCTGTACTTGTGCCTTACCTTAGGATGATTTTATTTTATTTTGAAGTATAAAAATAAATTCTCTTGAATGATTTTTTTCCCCATTTTTAAAGATTAATTACATAATAGATTCAAAATACTACCAGTGCAGAAATGCATTTTTGTCTGAAAAAATTGCATATCAAGCTTTGTGATGCGTACTTAGTAACTACTTTAGAATGGCAAAATAAATAAGAGAAAAAACAAACTGAAGCATACTGTTGGTGTTATTTGTGACATAGACTGTCCTATCTTAATTGTCTTCAGTAAACAGATTAACAGTAAGAGGATTTCTTGGCTCTGACTCCTAATTTTTAAACATCTTGACCTAGCAATGCTGCCATTGGCAGAACTGAAGCATACTCAAACTTCTCACCCTTGTGCTATAGCCTTACATGTGCATGAGCCACTTTTTATAGACTTTAATTGACTGCATAATAAAAGGGAATAGAGAAATACCATCTCTACTGGAATAATTAACAAATATAGAACTGTAGCTAAAAACAACTTTTGAACCTTAATCATAGTTGAAGATAGAACTGTATCTTGTGGATAAATGGGGGCAGGGAGTGAAAGAGTTTAGAAATTAGAGGGACTTTTTGGGTTTTTTTTTTTCTTTAAATATATTTGCATTTTGTTTAACCATGTTCTCTTTTAGTATGTTCTGGTGTCTGAAGAGTTTGTAGTTTAGCAAAAAAAGTTGTGATACTTAATTTATAGTAAAAGTGCTGCAGATAACAGCTAAAGCCCTCATTCAGGTCTAAGTATTCACTAAATGGTGCTATAAAAAGGCTTGAAATTCATTGAAAGAATTGTCATGAAATTGTTTCTCTGACACTTCATAGACATGAGTAATTCAAGTAGAACTTGTAGCTTATGAAGTATACTATTTATCCTTATTTCACACATTTAAAAAAAAAAAAAAATAGCCAAAAGAAGCTTAATGACTTGCCAGTAATCACACTGGAAGAGAAAAGTGAAATCTGGTAATTGTGACCAGAATGGAACTCAAGAGCGTGGGTTCTGCAGCAGAGTCCCACACTAATTCTGAACAAGGCATATAAGGAATGGAATAACAATAGCACCATCTAAAAAATATTTTGTAATGTTTCCTTTGTCTGGAGGAGTTTGTGTTTTAGATAAGTCAGCAATAGTAGAACACTCAAATACCATAGTGATAGAGACCATTGAAGTACGTTGATTTAAAAATAATTTTAAAAAATAGTGGCTTACATTCTTCTCTGTCCACAAGATTCTTCTCCTCCTAGAATAGCTAAAGCACATCTGTAATGATTACATAAGTGACTACTGTCTGAGCCGTGAGTTTATTGGAAGAAAATCATGAGCAATGTCATTTTGGCTCAGGTCAAGCCTGATAGTCCCTAACATCAACAGCTTCAAATAGCAAGAACATGAGCTAGTTTCTTCCATGTTCTTTGGAGGGAACCATGGAATTTTGCTGAAATTTGGAAAAAAATGGACTCGACTTTGTTATTAGTTTGCAACTGACTATGAGGTTGAGAGACTAGAAGAAAGGGAATGCATCTTTAGAAAAGGGGTCATTTTATTCTACGGTGATAGTCAAAGAAAATTATTCTAGCTGCTGAGAGGACTTCAAACTCCTGTAGGAATTTGTATCCTGAGTACCTGAAGAGCCTGTCACAGCTTGCAAGAAGTGCTTAAGAAATGGAGGCCTGGATGGGCATACAGAATTTTACTGATTTATTTAGACCTGTTCATTTATAAGAAAAGGTAAAAGGATAATATACATATATGCATTTGTCTGTGTCGTGCTTTTGAAGAGGAAGTTGGTAAACCTGAAGGTTCACAGAAGTATGACTCCTGGAAAGACTATGTTTAAATTACTTGCAATACTTTGGTTAGTGAGCAATATCTTAAGGTCTAAAGGCAGTTGACAAATTCTCTGAAGGAATGACAAAACTTTCTGTCTGATGAGTAAGCCAGAGAAAGCAAAGGCAGAAGGAGTTCTTCAGCTGATCCAGACAAAGGATTCTTAAGAGTGGATAGGAACAGCATCACAAAAAAGTGTCTCGTGCATCCAGTGGTAGTGTGTCCAGGTTCTGGCTACATCCAAAAATCACTACTTTTAACTAAACCACCCTATTGGGAGTCCATATGAAGCTGTGACACAGTAAATTCTCTCCTGAATCATCACTGTCTAGATGTGTTCTGTAGGTATGACCAACACTCACTCTTATTAGATTGTTTAAAACATTTTGTTTAGCTGTATTGAAACAAATTTTGTTGAAATATTCTCTTTGCCAAGTCACTGAGATTACTCTGTTACTGCTCTACACTTTACTTAAAGTACTGACAATCCTTATTAGTAGAACTCATCTTAAGACTTAAAATTTAAACTTTTTTGTAACAAAAATCAACTTTTTGTTATTTGTCCAGCAATTAAGTAGAATCCCAGTAGATGATGGGACAGGATTCCATACTCCTAGATAAGTGCAAATAAGGCTACTTTCTTATTGAATGGATTTTGTCCTGTTTTTCATATGGAAGCAGAAATGTTAGCAAGCAAGTCTTTTGTCTTAAAAAAAAATGCTTCTATCTGTATTTTGATGGTCTCAACAGAAGTGTCTGATCTGTCACCAAAAGTTTTCTTTAAGGAGCAACTATTAATATTAAATAAAAACATAGGCTTCAGAGGAGTAAATGTAACTCAAATGTGGAATTTATGTTCAGCTTACCTGTACAAAGAAATCTTTCTCACTACGTGAATTCTCTGAGTGTCAAGGCCTGAAAATGATACATTTTTCTTTTACAGCAGAGAAAACACACTTCACTTCATAGAAGTATTAAAGACTTTTCTTTTGCTAAGATGGTAAAAGATTAAATATTCATGTGTTTTGACAGAAAGAAGAAAAACCAGTACAAGAGAGAAAAGCTCCAAATAAACAAGGCGTGTTTCTCTTAGATTTAGATGATTGTAAGTATTTTGACTGAAGCCTTATTTTCCCTGTGGCATACATTCAATTCAGTTAATTCAGTGAGTTTTAAATGTCTGAAACATTGATTCTGTTCATTTATTGTATTAGATTCCTGACCAAAAAAAAAGAAATTGCTTAAGCTATCAACTTACTTTTAAACATAATTATTACAATATGTGATTTTGTTGCTTTTAGAACTAAGAAATAGTTTTAAAATTTAGAATGTATTGGTATGTAAAACATACATTTTGAGAATTTTTGTATGTCTGAACTTGTTTTCTGTTAAAGTGAGCTTATTTTCTCAGGTACCAGTGCATGCTACGTGTACGACATCTGTGCAACCTATGAACCAATTGTGGTACTATCATAAGACAATAAAAATCACAGTTTTAAAGAACAGATTTAAATGTAATCTTGGAAGGGTAGAGTAGAGCTGGCACTGGTTTTTCACTGTGCTTTGTAGTGCCATTCTTCAAGTTTCCTTCTATAGGTGCAACACATTTAGAATTGCATTAGTATGTACTTTGCATATAACTTGTAAATGAGGATGTGCTGCATAGTATGGATCAGACTGAAGGACAAAATGGGAAAGGAGGACAAAATATTTTTAGTGTAAATAACGTGGCATATACATGTATCAGTTTTCTATTTTCACTGTTTATTTTGAGTATTGGGGCTATATGAAAAAATAATCTGCTATTAAGAAATACATATACATGGATAAAATAATTAGATCAAGATGTAAAACCTTTTTACACTTAATGAAAATAGCTCATTGTCCTTCCTAATATTTTAATTTTTTTTTATTTAAATATAAATTGCCTTTTTACTTCTAGTCTGTCCTGTGACAACTCCTGTGGCAGTTTCTACAGCAGCTGTTTTGTCCCCAAGTTTAAAAGCAGACCTAGAGGGATTAAGTCTGTTGAGTTCACCAGTCATTGATGTAAGTAGCTTTTAAAAAGTGGGTGTGGAACTGTGTGTCTTTAACATTTCACATGTTTTTGAAGCAATCATTGAAATTATTTTTCTTAAGTACTTTCACCTATAAAGATCTTGTATGAAATTCTGGTTTACATGCAAGTCTGGCAGCTTTTTTTGATCTGTAATAATTACATTCTGAAATGTGGAGAAAAGTATGAATATTGCATGTCTGAGAAGGATGCCTTCAAGGATTTTTAACCTTCTCTTTCAATCTGTCTTTTTCTCTGCCTCAGGGAAACTTTAATTCACAAATTAAGTATCCAAATTATACAAATCTTTCAAATCATCTAGTTGCTACACTAACAAAAAAAAAACCTACAAGAAAATCACATACCTTCTAATCCTCAGCCTGTTTGTTTACCATACATGCCTCCAACTACAACATTTTGCTACTTGGAAGTAATTTTTCATGGGTATAAGAAGCATTGCCCCTGGGTGCAAATAAAAAGGGTATAGATTTACAATCAGTGGTGTATCAGTATGTGTCATGATTCATTCTGTTAGTGCTTTCTGCTTTGTAGCACTTTCCATTAGGGAATCTCAAAACTATAGGTATAATTAAGGTTAGCAAAGTCATGGAGGTAGAGGGCATTCCTTTGTTGGGGTAGGCATAGTAGTTTGTGTTCTACTTTTTTCGTTGGTTTTTTTTAGTCATTTTGTGTGTCCAATTTAAATTTGCAGTTTAATAAGGAATTGCAGCAGTACAACATAGGATACTTATCCTTGTGAAAGTAAATGGGCATGACCAGAAAAAATACAAGAGGCCTGGGCAGTTTTTAGCCTAGCCTTGTTTCTAATAAGGCTGGTATATAGAACTTGCAGTGCAACTTTAATAATTGCTGGTAAAGTACTTTGTGCTGAATTTGGGAGCAACAGACTTGCAAAATCAAATACTTCTTACATAAAGAAGGTACATGAATGATTTGTCTCAAGGAATAAAAGATCTTAGCTGATGATTGAGTTTCATGCTTACAGGCTTTAAAATTTGGTGTTGAAAACGTAAAATTTCAGATAGTGTGTTGAATATTAGCCTTATCTAAGAAAACTGTGATGAGATTTAAATTTCAAGCAGAGCAGTAATCATCTGTGGACATGCAGTCATTTTACCTGATGCGTGGTCTTTCATGTGCCACAGTCTGAAAATGCCAGAAATTATCTTCCGTGTTATTTTGCCCTGTGGTATGCAGCACTAGGTGGCAAGCCTGAGTTTAACTACAACCATGTTGTTATTGCTATGATTACAATCCCACAATTGCTTCTTTGTCATCCTTTATGGCTTTGACAGCTCAAAACACAGGCAATCATCTGTTTTCCTGGCTCTGAATTAGCTTAAGAATGACTCTGGTGTCTTTGCTTTACTTCAGAATTATCATCTTTGAGGGCAAGTTAAAATTAGTAATCAGTAATGACGGATTTGCCAATGTCTTTAGTCCTTTCATCATCTACAGTACATGAACACATGTTCCTCTCCCACATTCGTGCTTGCTTTCCTCATGATTGCCACTATTCATTTGCTAAATTGCTTCTCCCCATTCTTGAGAAGGTAGCTGCAATGAAATAGAGGTGTTAGAGCTAGAAGGTGTAGGCTAAACAGCAGAAGTTATGCATGAAAGGGTTGATTCTGCAAAATGCCTCTTTCTTGGTACTGCTGAGTTCCTGGTAAAACATAACCAGCAAAGAAGCTGGAACATTTCCTCATACTCCCAGCTCTGGAAACAACCCAAATCACATAAGAGGTAATTGTTGCTGCCTGGATAGTGATTACATGTTTTGGGCTGCATTCTGTTTTCAGGTCTAAGCTCAGTTCTCATTGCCATTTGTAATAATTGCAGATGTACAGGAGGTCGTCTGCTCAGAGTTCTATGTACCAGGAAGCAGCAAAAATTAAATGCGAAGGTTAAAGACTGTTCTTTCAGACGGTATCCATATATTGTAAAAAGTCTTGTGTGCAAGTAGTTAAATAACTATTGTCACATGTTGTTCAGCACCATCAAGTATTTTTCTAAAGATGAAAATATAAAAACAGGTTTTAAGACTGTGGGAATGTCCCGCTTAAAATAGTATCTTGAATTTAATCTTTGATGGCTAATTCTAAAGTTGTCATACTTCAGAAAACTTTTTCTTCCTTCAATGGGAGAGAAAATGAATTTAACTGTAGGGCACATGCCAAACTAACACTGAGAAATTAATTTATTACTAGGCAATGGAGAGCATGGAGTAAAAATAGATAAGTACAGTATATGACCCTAATATCAAAGAAATGTAGCAGCCACTTATCTTGGAATATGTCAGGCAGTCTATTATTCAAATCATTCAGCACTGTAATTGGATACAGCTTTTAGAAAACTTATAACTCCAAATTCATAGCTGCTGAACATTATAGAAAGCATAAATACAAGAATGGTTTTACAGTAATGGTATGGGTCTCTTTAAACTTACAAAACCAAAATATCCTTGAATAGAAACTACAGTGCACAACCTGATGCTTTGTCCTGTGGCTCATTTATTTTTATGATTCGTGTTTACATATAGCACATTTCTCCCCATATAAACGCACACATGCATACTATAGTTTGTTCCAGGAAAAACAAAATTTTCTGGTAATTTATGGATAACTTTCTTACACATGGAAGCAAAATATAGTAAATCCTTGTCTATGCTTTTGCCCTGGTACATGTAGTCCATCTTCAGGTGGCTCAACTGAACCAGGTAACTGAGATTGCCAGAGGCTACTATGGGGCTTTTCAGAGTATGCACGCAAGAGAAGTCAGACCTAAGTGCTTGGGGAAACTCTGCATTTGGAGTCAACTGAGCTTTAGATGGATACATTTACAGGTTTGAAAAATACTTGAAGATGTGATACCAATGAAAAACAGGAGATGAGAGACAGCTGCAAGCTGTCAGTGGAAAACAGTTATCTGAAAACACCGGAAATGGGTGTTGTCCCCTAAAGGGAGGTTTAAAGTGAGAAAATAGGGGAATTGAAAGCAAAATTCATGAAGGACATAAGGACACAGAGGGTTATAACCTGCTGCAGGAAATAATATTTTAAGCAGGAA